AGACCATAAATGCAGGCAAGGTCAGCATTGGGAATAAAATGGGTATTTTTTTCTCTCAGCAATAGATTGGATTCTCAATAGGTAAAGCAGAATCAGATGGTAAAATTCAGCATGGAGGAAGAGAGAGAGAGTGAAAAAAATAGAAGAAAGGAATAGGGGCACCTGAAGTGATGGAAGAATGCAGGTGTAGAGACAGAAGGGTGAGGACTGAGTGAGGAGGAATGAGAGAGAAAAATAAAGTGAAGGGATACACAGGATGACAGAATGAGAGAAAGAAGAGAAAAGTGAGAAAAGTGGGTGAAGAGAATAAAACAGGAATGTGATTCTTCTGCCTTGAATCCTGACATAGAATCTGAACAGCACAGAATCCAGGCATTTCAATCTTGTGTAGATGTTTCAAGGAGTCTAGGGAGGGTCTCTTACACTTCTCAGTTGTCTCCTCATTGGCTATAAATCCCCAACTGCCAAGTTAGGGATCATTTTTTTCATGATGACAAACAGTATTCAGGACAGCACTCCAATACAGTGCCTTCTGTGTAGTGGGTTTCAAGGGTCCAGTTGTTGAATGCATGTAACTTCTGAGAAGAAATATCTCTTCAAAGGTCACTTATATAGTTGCTCACCTCTCCCTCTGTAGGATATATTTAGATAAGTTCTCAGTTCTGGAGCAGTAGGAGGGTATTTGAAGCTGAAAAGAAAGATGGAGGTAAGAAGGGTCACTGAAGGAGGAAAGGTGTGGGAGGCTAGGAGCAGGGTAGGCAAAGTCATTTCTTTACATCTTGCCACAGACACAGTCACCCCCCTGCCTTTGGCTGTGAGTCCTGGCAGGCTGCCGACGGACAAACACTTGGGGCCTCATCCTGCTCATCCCCAAATAAGTCTGGACACAGGCACTGCACTCAGCTTCTGGTGCCAGAACATGAGCTACTCCTGTGAGAACAAGCCTCTCTCCTGAGTTTCCTGTTAGAGTTCCCTCCCAACAGGTAAATAGCATCTTCCTGTTTCTCATCTGCCTGAATGATAGTCCCACTAGTAGAATGCTCATTTCTCCTGTTCAACTACATGTTCTATATTGCTGCTCCTTGTTTGCCATCTATATTTTTGCCAGGAAATTCTACACTGAATTCTACATGTTTGTCCAAGGAACTAAAACCTAACGTCCAGCAAAGGAATTGATATGGATCCTTTTCTTCTGGCTACAAAAGAGTGTCAATTCCTCTGATGCTTCTTTGGGTAGATTTTCATTTTGTCTTTAATTGAAGCAGGAAGGGAACCAACATTTACTGAGCACTCTGCAGCACTAGGGGCTTTGCACATGTCATCTCATCTCCTGTCTTTCTGAGATTCACAAAAGTTAAGAAATCTGCTATGGGACAAACATGCCATTATCAAACTATGAGTATGAGCCCGATCTCTCTTATTCCAAAACCTGTGGATTTGTCTCTAGTCCCACAGTGACTTCAAGGCGAGAGAGAGAGAATGAATGCTTAACTTCTCCAGTACAAAAAGGAGGAAATTTAAGCCTAGCACTTTTAACTTTGTGTTTACTGACCTATCTCAATATGTATGTCAGAATTAGGAAGACTTTGGGAATTGGGACAAGGTCTATGCAGTTAGATTTAAAAATTGTGAGATTTGAAACTGTTACCAGTTTGTATTCTTCCACTGGATTATTTCTCTTGGCTAGAACCCTACATTATATTAATAGGAAAGACCCCTCTCCTTTTGTCTACTTCTTCTTCTTCTTGTTTTTAGAGACAGAGTCTCATTTTATCACCCTCAGTAGAGTGCCATTGCGTTACAGCTCACAGCAACCTCCAGCTCTTGGGCTTAGGAAATTCTCTTGCCTCAGCCTCCAGAGTTGCTGGGACTACAGACGCCCACCACAACACCTGGCTATTTTTAGTTGCAGTTTGGCCAGGGAGGTGTTCAAACCTGCTACCCTTAGTATATGGGGCCGGTGTCCTACTCACTGAGCCACAAGCACTGCCCTTGTCTACTTATTCTTATCAAAGGAAAGGGTAATATTAAAAATTTGTAGGAGAAGGTGTGGATTAGAGTCTCCTCTATAATTAATGACAAATGTTTCTAATGAGATAGTAACCACATTTCTCCACTTGTTAGGTAGACATTAGCTCTGTTGAGTGATTGAGTTTTTTTAAAAAAAATTCAGATTAATGTGAGGGTACAAACAGCTAGGTTACAATGTTTGCATTTGTTAGATAGAGTCCCTCACCCAAGAGGTATGCCATATACCCTTACATTGTGCCCATTAAGTGGGAGCACACAAATCTCTCTTCCCCTCTCTCTCCTCTCTCATTCTCCCTCCCCTCAACTTGAATTGAACTGAATTTTTCTCTTGTGTGGGTATGTATTAGATCACCTACTGGCTTCATATTCATATTATTGGATACTTGTTTTCCATTCTTGTGATACATTGCTAAGAAAAATGTGATTAAACTCCATCCTGGTTAATACAAAAGATGTAAAGTCTCCATCTTTCTTATGACTGAATAGTATTCCATGTTATACATATACCACAGTTTGTTAATCCATTCCTGGTTTGGTGGGCATTTAGGCTGTTTCCACATTTGGGCCATTGCAAATTGAGCTGCGATAAACAATCTAGTGCAAATGTCCTTATGGTAAAATGATTTTTTTTCTTCTGGGTAGATGCTTAGTAATTGATTTTTTTTTTTTAATGAAAGGTGAAAGTTGGGAAAGGACACACAGGTTTTGTTGCCTCCTGGTAACCAGGTAACCAGAATATTTGGATATAGTAAAGTCTTTCCAATGCTGATGTATCAGTTTTCTAGTATTGCTCTGACAATTTCACAAACTCAGTGGCTTAAAAATACTCCACAAATTTATAATTTTCCAGTTCTGGAAGTCAAGAAGTCTGATCTGGACCTTACTGGGTTAACCGAAATGTTGGCTTTCCTTCCAGAGGTTCTAGAGCAGAGTCTGTTTCCTTGCCTTTTCCAGCTCCAGAGGCCACTTATGTTCCTCAGCTTATCTCCTTCCATATTCTAAGGTAGCAGCGTGACATCTTTTGCTATCTGTCTGACTCTGATTCTTCTGCCTCCACTTTCATATTTAAGGGCTCATGATTATATTGAACCAACAAAGACAATCCAGGATAATCTCCTATTTTAAAGTCATCTAATTAACAAATTTAATTCCTTCAATCTTAATTCTCCCTTTTCATGCACCGTAACATTTTGATAGATTATGGAGATTAGGACATGGACTATTCTCTTTTGGGTCATTATTCTGCTTACTACAATTGACATGCAGGTGTTGTGTTTTAATGTTAGAAGAGAACTCAAGAGGATGATGAAAACTTGGGGAACAACTAACATCTCACTTCTTTTGGCAACCCTTGATAAGATCCTCTATAATTTGTTATGAGATAAATGCTATTATGTTGCCTATGCAGGATAGAGAGCTGAATTGTTAAAGAATTAGAAAATGAGTAGATCTCTCATTTGATCCCACAATCCCATTACTATCTACCCAGAAGAAAAATCATTTTATCATAAGGACATCTGTACTAGAATGTTTATAGCAGCTCAATTCACAATCACAAAGTTGTGGAAACAATCCAAGTGCCCACCGACCCATGAATAAATTAATAAATTATAGTGTATGTTTACCATGGAATACTATTAAGCCATTAATATGAAGGAAACTTTACATCTTTTGTATTTACCTGGATGGATCTGAAGAACATTCTTCTTAGTAAAGAGTCTCAAGACTGAAAAAGCAGACACCCCATTTTCCCAATACTCATTTGAAACTAGTAGATGAACAACTACAGGCCCACTCAAGGGAAAAAAAGCAATTAAATTCAAGAAGAAGGGAGGGGGAAAGAAAGGAAAGGGAATTTATTTGGTAAGCTTCCACCTATAAGGTACAATGTAGGCATATAGAGCATATGTCTTGGGTGAAAGACTCAACTATAACTTGGACTTTTTACCTTACAAATACAGACAATGTAGCCTGATTGAATGTATCCTTATGATAATAATAAAAAATTAGAAACATGTCTTTTGAATATAATTTTAGATGTTATTGAGTGGTCACTTAAGCTGTTCTATGTTAGCAGTAGACTAAAGGATAAATGAATCTACCTAAAATATTTTGTGGAAGCCAGACTGTATTTGCCTTCTCATCACAATGTGAGATCACAGGAAAACCACAGCCAATGGAAGATGACAGCAGGAAGATAACCTGAACTCTGAATGACATTAGATGGAAATCTGCCTTTAGGGAAATTAAAATAGAGAAGTCAGTAAGAGTTATGGGGGAGACCAAAAAGAATGAGAATGTCAAAGAGACACAGGTTTTGCAGGGATCTGTAAGCCATATTAGGGTTTTACACTTACCTTAAGGATCAGTGGGAATCTTTTTGGAATTTTTAATTAGGGAAAGTCATATTGAAATATAGGTTTTTAAGAAAGATTTCTGGCTACAGTAGAGAAAATGGATTCATACGATCCAGAATTTCTTAGGGATCCTCCACTTGATTAAAATAAATAAAAATGCATACATAGTAATGACTATTCCTTAAGCAATATAATTCTTTGCATCTTTTTATTTAGAAAGGCAACCTCTCTGAAAGTAACAATGGATGCTGAAGTCAGATCTTCTAATAATTGCTGTGCCATGACTAATGATTTGGTCTACTCACCACAGAAACTTCTTGGGGCAATGACATGGCTGAAACACCTTTGTCCACACTCTAGTCCCCAGTGTCACAGGTGTAAGAATTCTATTTTGACAGTGAACTAAGAGATTGTGCCTCTTATTAGCATTTGACTCAACAATAAGTTTTGTAATTTCCTTTTGTACCAACATACAGTGAAAAATATGAGAAACAGGTTAAGTTTTCCACTTTCTGAAATAAACATTTATATTTTTAATCAACTTCTAAAAATGATTATTCTAGAGTCCCTAATATTCTCAACCACTCTTCATCTTCATCAGAGGAGAAGAGCATGAGGCCTGAGAACCAGAGCAGCGTGTCCGAGTTCCTCCTCCTGGGGCTCCCCATCCGGCCAGAGCAGCGGGGCGTGTTCTTCCTCCTGTTCCTGGGCATGTACCTGACCACGGTGCTGGGGAACCTGCTCATCATCCTGCTCATCCGGCTAGACGCTCGCCTCCACACCCCCATGTACTTCTTCCTCAGCCACTTGGCCCTCACTGACGTCTCTTTTTCATCTGTCACTGTCCCAAAGATGTTAATTACTATGCAAACCCAGGACCAATCCATCCCCTATGCAGGGTGCATAGCACAGATGTATTTTTTCATATTTTTTACTGACCTGGACAGTTTCCTTATTACATCAATGGCATATGACCGCTATGTTGCCATCTGTCACCCTCTCCACTATACCACCATCATGAGGGAAGAGCTGTGCACCTTACTAGTGGCTCTATCCTGGATCCTGTCCTGTGCCAGCTCCCTTTCCCACACCCTTCTCCTGACCAGGCTGTCCTTCTGTGCTGCTAATGCCATCCCCCACTTCTTCTGTGACCTCGCTGCCCTGCTCAAACTGTCCTGCTCCGACATCTTCCTCAATGAGCTGGTAGTGTTTACAGTAGGGGTGGTGGTCATTACTCTGCCATTCTTGTGTATCCTGGTATCTTATGGTTACATTGGGGCCACCATCCTGAGGGTCCCTTCAACCAAAGGGATCTGCAAAGCATTGTCCACATGTGGGTCCCATCTCTCTGTGGTGTCTCTGTACTATGGGGCAATATTTGGACAATACTTTTTCCCATCATTTAGTAATTCCATTGACAAGGACATTATTGTGGCTCTCATGTACACAGTGGTCACACCTATGTTGAACCCTTTCATCTATAGCCTTAGGAACAGGGACATGAAAAAGGCCCTTGGGAAACTCTGCAATAGAGCAGCATTTTTCTCACAGTGACGTGTGACTTTTTCAAAAATCAGAATCTCATTTTGGTTGATCTAATTCATTTTATTTTCCATTCAAATGTGTCTCAAACCTTTATGTCCTCAAGTCTTATGCCAAATGATGGAATGTTAGATGTATTTGGTAAATATTCATTGACCATCATTTCATTGTCTTATTAACTAAGTTTTTCTTTGTAAATAGCTTTTGATATATGAATGCCAAATTAATTTTATTACTTATTTCTCCAATTTGGGGGGCATAAATAATACAATAATACACAGTTTTTTCCCCTTATTTGAGATTTTCAGGGACACATATATTTTTGGTCCATACTCCTAGACTTTAACATAATACAGAATATAAAGAATTAGCCATACATTTTATTAACACTATTCTTTCTCATGAAGACTAAGTAGATTTTCTTTTTGTCTTTATGGGTCTACTGAACTAAAAAAAAAAAAATCCAAACTTCCTACCACTTATATAAGAGGAAACATATTCTCTGTCCACAGTGTAAAAAGATACGACAACTCTGAAGATTGAGGGAGCTGTAGACTAAGACTTCCCCAGAGACCCCTCCCTTCTTTGCCAGTGCTGTATGTTTGATATTACTTATTTCTTATATTTGATCTTCAATGAAAGAATGTTTCATACTGGCCTCCTTTGAAATATGAGCAAAATAGAGTTCCTTGAAGACTAGGGCATATTCACAGGTTCTATAAAACTCTAAAAAACATATTTTCGTATTTTTGAACTAACTGAAATAATTATTTCACACAAAATTCACATTAAATTGTACATTGGGTATAAAGTACTAAATGATTTCAGAAAATCCCCTCAAAGGGATACTAAAGTTCTTGGCAACAAATTGAACAATTTTACATGATTTCATTCACTCGTAAAAGGCCTCGTGCAACTTGCCATGTTTTGTGACATAGCCCGTGAGAATGCATTTGTCTTGAATCCAATCCATGCTATCATTACTTTTTTACTGCAATCTTTACCTCCCTTCTTCTCCCCCACATTTGCCCTATGTAAAATGCAATGCATTTACCTAGTTTTATACATAAAGATAAGACTAACTAGTCTACAGCAAGTTAATGATATGACATCGAAGCCTGTGGTGATGGCTTTAACTAGAATCTGTTTGAGATGTGAGAATAGAAAATTTCTTGCCTGGTGAAGGAGTTCGGTATTTGATATACATACATGGGATATTGCAATAGCAACTTTTCATTGTTATCTATTCAATTTCATTCCATAACTGTTGACGTAGGCTATAAGGGAGTGAAAACAATCTAGCTTTGTTCCCTCCCTTTCCACAGAGTTCATCTGGACTTCCACTGTTCATGTATCTCACAGGCATTTTCACAGTTGAGTTCTTTCCAAAAGAGCACAACACAAGAGACTAAGGGACAAAGACAGTGAAGCCCATTACAGTTCATGCTTTTGGAGACATTAAAGTGGGCTTGATCAGACAACCAACAAACAAAAGATATGACTTCAGGGCATTACTTGGTCTTTAATAAAGTGTTACAGTAAATTTTTATGTGAATTTAACTGGAGATTGACTAAAAATTTTAAAATGTTAAGTACATATGTATGTATTTATATGCATATAAGTAGAAATGCAAATATGGTCACAATAAATTATAGAAAGAGAAAGACACAAAATATGATCAAATAAATCTCACTCGTGTAAACATATATGTTTATGAATAACAGTCATTTCAGAAGAATAAAAAGTAAATAATGAAAGCGTGAGGTACTTTGACTTTCTCCTTTGTTTTCATGTTCATGTTATTTGGATTTCCATCATGAATTAATTTTATAAGCAGCAAACCAAAAAGGAATTTCCATTTAGGAGGAAAATCTCTTTTATATTTCAAACTACTAGGTAGGGCAAAACAGGAATCTCACAGGGGATGCCTTCACCCAACTCCTTTTGGGCTTACAATCATGGGGCATACACCCTGACACTCTTCCTAAGGACAGACTTTCCTCAAGGTTTACTATTAGAATCATTCGCCTCAGAATCACCTGGCTCCAAACCTCATGAATGAGTACCCCTGGAGGGGAAGCCAGCACCTACATCTTTAACAAGATCCTCAGGTGATTCTGGTCAATATCAGAGTTTAGGGAACACTGCCATACAACATCTGTCCTGGAGAGAGTGAGAGAAAAATGGAGCAATTAATCCATGTCTCTAAGCAAAAGCCTGGGGTTCTGTCTCCTTGAGTTCTCTTCCTGGTAGATAGAGTCTTCATATCTTCCTTTCTGAAGCTGGTGAATTGAAGACAGTAAGCTCCAGGCTCATGGTTCTTCTCTCTGATCGCAGTGAGAGATCCCAGACCAGTGGAGTTGTAGGCTGACTCTGGTTTCTGGGTCTTCTAGAAAGACTCTGCTAGGAAACCAGCCCATGCTACCAGGAGCTAAATAACTGAAGCATAGTTCCCAGCAGCACTTGGTATCCTTTATCAGCGTGTGTGTGTGTGTGTGTGTGTGTGTGTGTGTGTGTCTGTGCGCATGCGCACACACTCACAGGTGCTCAGCACTTCTCTGTGTTCTTGCAGAAGTCACTTCTCCTTCCCAGTCTTTAAAGACAGAGATACAGCAATCACTACAGGCCAATGACTTTCACACCTTTAACCCCAAGACTTAGGGGAGATCAGGAACAGAGCCAGCAGCCTGTACAAATTACAGGCCACATCCTCAAATCTAGGCAGGGATCCCATCTCAGCACTCATTTTCTAGGTAGCAGAATGTGTGCTTATTTAGCACACACAGTGTTAACCAGACCTCTCTACTGTTTCTCTCCAAAGTCCTTGATCATCCCCTCACTCTTCTTTAGGCAGCACTGTTACTTTTACCTGAAAGTATGTTAAAAGGACATTTCTAGCTAGGGAGTTTTGGTTCCTTTCTTCCTTTAATCAGCCCAATATTGCATCTCCTTATTAGAACCTACTCAATGATTACCTGCCTGTAATCCCTAGTGCAGTCCCATACTTTCGTCAAAGGCATTGCATCCCCAGGAGAGATCTATGACCACATTTACTTCTGCTTGTGTTGTAGTAAGATACGACATTGTGTGTCTTCCCTAGAGATCTTTGCACTTTATATTTAATGGAAGCAATGTCTTCTCAATGTCATTTATGAGTGAGGTGTTTTGTATACATTACTTTATTTAAATTTTACTAAAATTCATGGACTATGTTGACCAACTAGTTCCAATTTAGTACTGAGTACATGTAGTGTTTGTTCTTTCATTCTTGAGATACTTCTTTTAGGAGAATAGTCTCCAATTCTATCCAGGTTGTTACTGAAGATATTAGATCACCATCTTTCTAATGGCCAAATAGTATTCCATGTATACATATACCACATTTATTTATCCATTCAAGAATTAGTGGGTATTTGGGTTATTTCTACATCTTTGCAATGGTGGATTATACTGCTATAAACATTCAAGTGCAAGTTTATTTTTTCATATAAAATGTCTTTTTTTACTTTTGATAAACACCTAGTAGTGGGATTGCAGGATCAAATGGTCTAAAGTAGGTCTAAAAGTAGGTCTACTTTTAGTTCTTTGAAAAATCTCCATAGCATTTTACGTAGAGGTTAAACTAGTTTGCAGTCTCTCCAACAGTGTATGAGTGTTCCTTTTGCTACGGATCCATTCCAGCCTCTGTCGCTTTGTGTCTTTATGATGTAAGCCATTCTCACTGAGATTAAGTGATATCTCAGTGTGGTTTTGGCTTGTATTTCCCTGATAATTACAGATGTTGAGCATTTTTTCATGTGTTTGTTGGTCCTTAATCATCTGTATTAGAAAAATTTCTATTCGTGTCTCTTGTCCAATTTTTGTATATTCTCCTTTTTAGCCCTTTATCAGATGTGTAGCATTCAAATATCTTCTCCCATTCTGTAGGTTGTCTATTTTGCTTTGTTGGTTGTGTCCTTGGGTATACAGAAACTTTTTACCTTGATAGGGTCCCATTTATTTATTTTTGTTCTATTTAGACATAAAGATCCAACAAGTTTTAAACCGGGTTTAATCCCATCCCAAAGTGTGACTAAGTCAGAGACAGAAAAGGGTAAGGCAGAAGAGAGACTAAGAGTGCCTTGAGATCCTGACCCATAAGCACATTTTTTTTTTTTAACATTCCCAGGACAAATATTCTCCCAAAGAATACCTTTCCTAGAGGAATTGAGGCAAAATTGGCCAATTAATTCAAGTCTAATGGATGTCCTTAACTGAAGATTACAAGTTCTACTCCCTAACCCCCAGGGTTCTCTTTTTGGCTAGTTATTCTATGCAATTCATTTAAATGGGACTGGCAAACAGGATTAAGAGTCGAGCTTGTAGTTTCTCTTTTTGATGCCTAAAAAAATGTCTGAGATCTCAGAAGCTGGTTTTTGGTCCTATAAAGAAGATCTTAAAACACATCCACCAAACATCAGACCATAAATGCAGGCACAGTCAGTATTGGGGTTGAAAGGGGGTATTACAGACTCTCAATAATAGACAGATTTATAAATAGACACAGAAGAGGCAGAATCAGAAGGT